CGAACCGAACCGAAAAATAAAAATCTCCGAACCAAACCGAACCGACTTTTTGGTACGATTCCAGAGATCGATTTTTGGGATCTCCGAAGTTTGGTACGGTTCTGGAGATTTATCAATCTCCGAACCGTACCGACCCACGCTCACCCCTAAGAATGTTACAATCCCGTTACGAGATGGTTCCGTTGTTTTTTTAGCCGCAGATACACATGTATATCATGTGATATGTAGGTACGTAATCTACGCTTAAAAAGAACAATGGAATCATCCCGTAACGGGACTGTAGTCCTAAAATTTGACTCTCTTATATTAAAGAAGAGAAAAAAAAAAAAACTATATAATAATATAGTGTATAGAATACTCTCAAGATATAACTGTACTTACAAAATGATTTGGTTGACCAATACAACGAGTTAGGAATTAGGTTGTTTGTGTTGGGTAATATTTTTGTTTCTGTTTTCATTTCTCTATTCTTACTGCTGAATTGTTTAATTATCAAACATTGACTATATTTAATTATCAAATTAATTATGGGCCTCCCCTACATAATACATGCGCCCCTACTCTATGGTCACTGTCCATGCGTTGTAATAGTACGTAGAATTACGGTACAAGATAAATTAATTAATTATTATTTTTTAAAAACAATATTTTCTACATAAACTGTTTTTCATTTATTTAAATAGAAAAAGGAAAAAAATAATAATAAGATAAATAGCAAGTTCGCTAAAAAGACTTGTTACATCGAACATCTTTTTGTGTATATATATATGAACATCTTCTGCAGCCAAGCTTAGAATAGCTTCGGGTTGTTCTTCTTGGACTCTTGCAATCTCGTTCCACTCGTTGCTGTGAATTTCTTGTTTTGGGGGACCTTAGGTCATGAGAAATATTCATATAATCCCGGCATAAAAAAATATTTTCATCGTAGTTAACGGAAGATGAGTGGATCAACGTTATAATAAGAAGTTAATGTGATAAAGGTTTAGTGTATAGAACTAAAATGTTGAGAGGTGGCTACTACAATACCATATGTCTTTTTTAGTGAATAATTTACATATCCAAATGCTTTGTTCCGAATATAATCACTCTTTGCAAAGGTCTCACCCTTCCCAATAATTCTAACTTGAAATTGACCACTCACTGCAAAGACCCCCACGCTCTCAAGGCTTTGACCCGGAATGACCATTCACTGAAAAAGTTCTCACATTTCTACATGTTCTGGCCCAACAACTCACTGAAAAAGACCCTCACGTCTCTCAATATTTTGACCCAAAATGACCACGCTCAACAAAAGTTCTCACACTACTTCTCTATGTTATGACCCAAAAATGACAACTGATCACCGCAAAGACCATCGTGCTCTCAATGCTTTGGCCTGAAATAACCACTATTTGAAAAGGTAATTACGCTTCTTTGCGTTCTGACCCAAAAATAACAACTCACTGAAAAGACCCCCACGTCTCTCAATGTTTTGACCCGAAAATGACCACTCCCAGCAAAAGTTTTCGTCATTCTCCATGTTCTGACTTTAAATTGACCATTCACTGCAAGGATCCCCTCGTCTCTCAATGCTTTGACCCAAAGCGACCAATTTCTGCAAAGGTTCTCACTTTTTAAATGCACTACTATAAAACAAACATATGATTATTATCACACACTTCAATTTATTCAAATATATCATCATATTTCCCTTATCCTACATCTCTAATATCTTCAATGCATTTTAATTTCGGGAATTCTTCATGTTCTTCACGTGATGATGATGATAATATTCTAATTATTAATACTCTTCGGCAAAAACAAAAAGGTCGCTAATAACAACATGATCATTCAACAATTTCTCCATCAACATAACCACCAAGCCTCCGATGGAAGTTATGTGCGTATCTTCATCAGTCATGATCGAGAGGCTACGTACTGATCGTAGGTTGTACAATGATTATTTTTCAAAAAATTCATTGTATAACGAGCCCATATTTCGTAGAAGATACTGAATGTCTCACTCGCTGTTCATTCAAAGTGTTGATGAGGTCAAAGATCTTGATCATTACTTCCAACAACGAGTGGATCGAGCCGACAAACTTGAATTATCTCCAGTACGAAAATGGTTGTTATATTACGTATGTTGGCATACAATATTGCAA